TTATGGACATGATTAAAGTGATATTTAATACCCTATCTAGCTATTTTGGTCGGTGCTGAATCAGAACACCGATCTCGACTTGACATGTAATACCGTCAGTTGTGGTTCCTACATGTTCGGCCCCTCATGGACAGGATAAAACCCTCTGATAACCCTTTAACCTGGACAAGACATGCACAAAATATCACCTATAGCCCACTTGGCTATCAAGACATACATTTCAGTAGCCATGTAACTTGGAAGGTAGAAAGATACACAACCCTGGTGATTCAACCTTCATTAGGATTACAGATTTACATGGTTACATGGTTACAGGACTGACTGACTGAGTTTGGATTACGCCGCCGCTTTTAGCAATATTCCAGCAACATCACGGCGGGGGACACCAGAAATGGGCTTCACACATTGTACCCATGTGGGGATTCGAACCGGGGTCTTCGGCGTGACGAGCCAACGCTTTAACCATTAGGCTACCCACCGCCCCACATGGTTACAGGAGCAAGTGTAATCTCAAGCACTTTGGAGCCTTTAATTCAGGAACTATTTCAAACATATTTCCTGTTGTATTTGAAGTAGGATAATAGAATTGATGCTGTCAAAACAACAAGATGAACAAATTCTGAACGATGTATTATCTACTCCACTTTTGGGCAACCTTTTTCCATAATGGCTTGTTCCAATCCAGATCTTCCAGGATCTCAGATCAGATAATATTCTGGAACACTCATTCCAAATTTCCAAGGAACATAATAGTAGCTTCAAATCGAAGGATAAAGGAGAGAGCACTATCAAAAGTCCTATTTTGTTTTGTCCCATAAATTCACAACATTCTCTGCAGTGTGTTTGTTTACATTTGTTTTGAGACTACTGTAACATTGTATTTGTAAAGACTAATATTGAATAAATTTCCAAACTTACGTAATTTCTGCTCTTAACAATGAAATTTTGGTTGATACAACTGAAAGGGTGGAAGTAGTTTAGGCTGTGCATACTAATGCGCACACACATGCACTGGTACAACCATACAACATGCAAGTATCATCACCACTCATCCAGAAACGTGACCACCACTGATCTACATTCACAGCATCAGCAGCAGGGAGTAATCAAAGGGAGACAATCATCTATAGCTTCATTTCCCTCTGGTTTCAGAAACCATCACAAGGTACAAAGAGTCCAGGTCGGATTTGTTCCAAGACTATGCAACTTTAAAACACATTTATTGTAGCAAAACCTTGCTGATTATTTCTAAAAATAACAAGCAAGCTGTGAATTTTGCTATACCATCATAATATTGTCTCTTTCTTTTCTTAACTGGAACAAGGTTTATCATGTTCTGTTATATGGCTCTGTCTCCAAGTATTGATAGGAACCAGAAATATATAATGTTATACCATCCTGCTACTGGTATTGATACGAACCAGGTATATGTTGTGTTATACCACCCTATCTCCAAGTAATGATAAGAACCAGGTATATGTTGTGTTATACCACCCTATCTCCAAGTAATGATACGAACCAGGTATATGTTGTGTTATACCACCCTATCTCCAAGTAATGATATGAACCAGGTGTATGTTGTGTTATACCACCCTATCTCCAAGTAATGATACGAACCAGGTGTATGTTGTGTTCTACCACCCTACCTCCAAGTAATGATACGAACCAGGTGTATGTTGTGTTCTACCACCCTACCTCCAAGTAATGATATGAACCAGGTGTATGTTGTGTTCTACCATCATATCTCCAAGTAATGATATGAACCACGTTGTACCATCGCTCTCAAGTAATGATATGAACCAGGTGTATGTTGTGTTATACCACCCTATCTCCAAGTAATGATCACTGAACCAGGTGTTCTACCGCCTATGTGTTCTAGTGCCATCCTATCTCCAAGTAATGATACGAACCAGGTGTACGTTGTGTTCTACCATCCTATCTCCAAGTAATGATACGAACCAGGTATATGTTGTGTTATACCACCCTACCTCCAAGTAATGATACGAACCAGGTGTATGTTGTGTTCTACCACCGTATCTCCAAGTAATAATAGGAACTGTGTTTATGCCCAAGGGAGGATCTCATAGGAAACTCTGCATCATGGAAATGCAAAAAAGCAGCCTGTTCTCTAAGATCTGTTTTTAGAGATGCAATTTCCTGTTCAATTATTGATAGGATTTTATAGTGGTAAACAAAATCAGGTTACAATCTTTCCCCTGCTTAACATAACAACAGTATGGCTTCTGTTACCAAGTGTACATTATAAATTTTGTTGAGATCCTTTTCATATTTTTTTTGGTGTTTTTTATTCACTTGCTCAAGAATGACATATTATCAAATTGGAAGACAAGCAATATCACAGCGAGATCATCTTACACTACTTAATTTAGCTACATTTCAGAAAGCCAATGAAGCAGAAACTGTTCACATCATCAAATGAAGCATGCCCTCCCCCACAATGTGAGGGATTGTCCTCAACACACTGTCATCAGACACATGAATATTGCTGACTCGCATAAAATCACCATTCATGCATTGATCAGTCAGCTGGGTCCCAGTCCTGACTCATCAGGGGAGACAATCACTGTCCATCAGAACATATCAAGTGAAGAATTTTTCACACATTATATATTTTTAGGTCATTTGTTGGTTAGCTTTAAATAAAATAATCAAAATATGTGACTTTTTTTATGTCATTGGCATCAACAATCAATTTCTTTAACTAAAAAATACTGTAATAATGGTGATTATTATTTTGATTATTTCCATCCATGAAATATGAAATTCAAAGCATTTCGTGTAAAGGTTGAAACCAACTGAATCTAACAAAAAAAGGGTTATTCTGTTTCAACCACTAACCTGTTCATTTGAAGATAATTTCATACATTTTACATACTTCTTTTCCAACAAAACAAAAACTGTAAACCAAATGAAAAAGATGACTGACTGACTCAATCTGGAGAAGGCAAACATGTGGTCAATATGAGGTGCAGAGTTTTACGTGGACCTACAAAACTTGGGGTAGTAGGAGTCTAGAGGAAACCCAGCTACTAACTTACTAGGGTCCTTACAGCAAATATGAAGGGCTTGTACAGCAATGAAATGGTACAAAGCACTATATACCTTGTCACAAATTTGGCCCCACGCTTTTGATATTGCTGGAATATTGCAAATTTGGAACAATACGGATGATTTATTTACATATTTGCCTCCATTCAGTACATTATTGTTAACTTAACACATATTTCTGTATAAGTCCAAAAACCTGCATGAGAAATGAGTGAGTACAGTTTGACGCAGATTTTAGCAATAATCCAGCAATATGACGACTGGGGACACCAGCAATAGACTTCACAACCCATGTGGGAAATCGAACCCAGGTTTTGATGACTGGATGCTTTAACCACTAGGCTACCCCACTGCCCCCATGAGTGATGAGTAATGATGACCATGTCAATTCAAGGTAATTATTTCATAATTCCTACACTTATCATAGCCGTTAAATATGCATCAAATGAACGAATAAAAAATGTGAAATGTTCTATTTCATACTTTCTTCAAGAAATAGATCGAACTATTTCAAAATACACAAGTAAAACAAATTATATTTTCATTGAAAATGGTATCTGTTATGTTGGAGCATCTGAGATTATGGCATTTAGTTTGTTTTAAACACTGATTAAGTCAAGCATCTTAAAACGCTATAATTACATTATTAATCCATTCTACTATTTCACTTAGTTAGTAAAGGCAATGAAAACAATATGTGACTTTACTGTCAGAGTCAGGTCTTTATCCAAAAAGTCGTTTTTATTTATTTGTTTGTTTAACACTGCACTCAACAATATTCCAGCTATATAGCAGTGGTCTGTAAATAACAGAATCTGGACGAGACAATCCAGTGATCAACATCATAAGCATCAATGTACGTACATGGGGATACGATGGTGTGTGTGTCAACCAAGTCAGCGAGCCTGACCACCCGATCTTGTTAGTTGCCTTTTACGTGACGTGAGGTGAAATTGGGTTTAACGTCGTGCTTGAGAATATTTCGCTCATATGACGACGTGAATGCCTGTGTATGTGTATGTGCGGCTGCTTGTACTAGCCCAGACTGAAGCTTGTTTTATAGTGCTAGCCCACTGAGATACCATGCCGCAGTGAAGCATGGATACCCCACTCAGACACATTATACTGACTCCGAGCCGACCAGTCCTTGTTGTACCCATTAATGCCGAGAGCCAGGCAGGGACCAACAAGTACCATATTTTAACAATTTTTGGTATGACGCGGTTGGGGATCGAACCCGCGACCTTCCGCTCTCCGGGCGGACGCTCTAACCACTACACCACGGAGGCGGTCGTTGCCTTTTACGACAAGCATGGGTTGCTGGAGGGTAATTCTAACCAGGATCTTCACGGGTTAAACGGATGCACCATGTTGCACTAACAGTATTTAATCTTCATGTTAACTAAATAATTCACTGACTGACAAGAGTGACATGCAGTTCACACAGAAAAAAACATTTTGTAATATCCATCAAAGTTGTAATCAACAGCTTACAGAATGTAAAGATATTTTTTAACTCCTGAATTTCCCCATTAAAGTATTTATGGTTGTATTGCAGTCAGCGTGCAGTAAATTGTATATTTACCACCATGCACATGAACTGTGAGTAGGTAAAATGGTATTTAGCCGAGGGCCCGGTGTGGCACGGCCATTGTTCCTGATTGTTTAACACATAATACCCAGAAACTTGAGAAGCCAAGTATTTCTAGGTCAAACTTATCAACAGAAAAATGTGTAAATACATACATTAAACAGTTAGTCAGTCTTAAACACAAGCATCAGGCCATGCCAAGATCACTACATGCAGCACAGCTCAGGCAGAGACACGACAGAGTCACATGTACACACACACATAGACACAGGATGAGTACTCAGTACTCAATACTTTACACTACACATACACTATAGTATCTACTACACTCTTTACTCACCTCCGAACGAACTTTCCCAATAGTATCCCATGCCCAGTTTAAATCTGTCGAAAAAGGAGAAAAAGCATGAAATTATGGTCAAGACCGTTGGGAAAGTTGTAGTTCCACAGCTGTAGTTGACAGCGGTTGACTCTGCTGACACAGACTGGTGAGTGGTAGGTGGTATAGTCTATAGATCCAAGGCTAGCTGTAAGCAGGGGTTGGATACACAGAGCTGGTGCCGGGTCCAGACATGCTCTCCTGGTGGCAGTAGTACACTGGAGAATACAGGCCACATTTAGCTAGCAATAACCTGGGTATTCCACTGCTGGCTGGGTTCAGTATTGCCTGTAATAACCTTACACATTGGCTGTGCTGGCGATAACTTGGGTTGCACGGCAGAGTGGGTTCAATATTGTCTTACTCTTTGCTATGCTTGGACATAATTTGGGATGCGACTCTACTGCAGAGTGGGTTCATATTGCCTTAACATGACTCTATGCTATAATGGTAATACCAAGAGTGTGGGTTGTGACAACTGAAGAATGGGTTCATATTGCCTTAACATGACTCTATGCTATGACGGCAATACCGTGGGATGTGACTCTACTGCAGAGTGGGTTCATATTGCCTTAACATGACTCTATGCTATAATGGCAATACTGTGGGTTGTGACAACTGCAGAATGGGTTCATATTGCCTTAACATGACTCTATGCTATGACGGCAATACCGTGGGTTGTGACTACTGCAGAGTGGGTTCATATTGTCTTAACATGACTCTATGCTATAATGGCAATACCGTGGGTTGTGACTACTGCAGAGTGGGTTCATATTGCCTTAACATGACTCTATGCTATAATGGCAATACCGTGGGTTGTGACTACTGCAGAGTGGGTTCATATTCATAATTGACTCCTTATAACATGACTCTATGGTTATATTGCCTTAACATGACTCTATGCAATACCGTGGCTTGTGACTACTGCAGAGTGGGTTCATATTGTCTTAACATGACTCTATGCTATAATGGCAATACCGCGGGCTTGTGACTACTGCAGAGTGGGTTCATATTGCCTTAACATGACTCTATGCTATAATGGCAATACCGCTAAGGGCTTGTGACTACTGCAGAGTGGGTTCATATTGTCTTAACATGACTCCATGCTATAATGGCAATACCGTGGCTTGTGACTACTGCAGAGTGGGTTCATATTGCCTTAACATGACTCTATGCTATAATGGCAATACCGTGGCTTGTGACTACTGCAGAGTGGGTTCATATTGTCTTAACATGACTCTATGCTATAATGGCAATACCGTGGCTTGTGACTACTGCAGAGTGGGTTCATATTGCCTTAACATGACTCTATGCTATGACGGCAATACCGTGGCTTGTGACTACTGCAGAGTGGGTTCAATATTGTCTTAACATGACTCTATGCTATAATGGCAATACCGTGGCTTGTGACTACTGCAGAGTGGGTTCATATTGTCTTAACATGACTCTATGCTATAATGGCAATACCGTGGGTTGTGACTACTGCAGAGTGGGTCCATATTGCCTTAACATGACTCTATGCTATAATGGCAATACCGTGGCTTGTGACTACTGCAGAGTGGGTTCATATTGTCTTAACATGACTCTATGCTATAATGGCAATACCGTGGGTTGTGACTACTGCAGAGTGGGTCCATATTGCCTTAACATGACTCTATACTATAATGGCAATACCGTGGGTTGTGACTACTGCAGAGTGGGTTCATACTATCTTTACATGACTCCATACTATAATGGCAATACCTGGAGTTGTGACTACTGCAGAGTGGGTTCATATTGTCTTAACATGACTCTATGCTATAATGGCAATACCGTGAGTTGTGACTACTGCAGAGTGGGTTGCCTTAACATGACTCTAAGAGTCATCTTAGAACCCTATCGTTTCACTTTGACAGTGTCAGTGTCCACTAGGAAAGCTAAAAAGTGGTTGTGTGAAAGGAACATAATAAATGTTAAAGAAACAGGAATACTCCAGGTCTTTTATTTCTTTGGATTTGCTGTTTTACTTTTATGGCTTCATATTAACCTTAAAACATATATTTATTAAAAAAAAACAATTATTCATAAGGCCAATTAAAAAAAAATGTTGTGGTTCCTATTACACTTCTCCCACAATTTAGGCTAGGTAGGTCGGAATGTACTTTTTCTAAATATATTTTTTGGAAGTAAAGTTCTAACTAATAACATTTATTAATGTGTAATTGTTTATTCAATCAAGCTTGCGGCCATGATATCGACTTTGGTGCCGGGGAAAAAACAAAGGGATCTGAAAGCATATTTTATTCATTCAGCTTAAAAAAAATATGGTCGGCACCCGAATTCAAGGGTCGGTCGGGTAATCGGAACCACAACATTTCTTTTTTAGGCCTAAGTGTGCCCTCATGGCACTTAGAGTCTACTACAGTGGCAATCACACTGGCAACTATCCATTCAAGTATATGAAATTTCAAACCCGTCTTCATCCAATTACTTGGTGAAAAGGCTTTACCAGCTTAAGGAGATCATTAACTTATAATACAAACAATGAACATAAATATCATGATTGTTGACAATATAAATATATTGGTGCATTCAGGAATATCAAACACCTGATTTAGCCAGTCACTGACCCCCCTGAGAATTGGCATTTGACCAATACATTGACCACTGCCTCAAGACAGTGCCCCCTGGCAAATTGCCAAATATATACCACTAACTACAATCATGTTTACCCATACTGATAATATGCATTCTTCTGGGTCTGGCACTGTGCCAAACTAACCCCTGCAGCAAGAGCAGATGAATAACAGCAGTTTATACAAGGTAGATCTCGCGGGCTCAATGAATGGTGTAGATTTTGGATCAAACTATCATGGGCTCAATGAATGGTGTAGATCTCAGATCAAACTATCGTGGGCTCAATGAATGGTGTAGATCTCAGATCAAACTATCATTGGCTCAATGAATGGTGTAGATCTCAGATCAAACTATCATGGGCTCAATGAATGGTGTAGATCTCAGATCAAACTATCATGGGCTCAATGAATGGTGTAGATCTTGGATCAAACTATCATGGGCTCAATGAATGGTGTAGATCTCAGATCAAACTATCATGGGCTCAATGAATGGTGTAGATCTCAGATCAAACTATCATGGGCTCAATGAATGGTGTAGATCTCAGATCAAACTATCATGGGCTCAATGAATGGTGTAGATCTCAGATCAAACTATCATGGGCTCAATGAATGGTGTAGATCTCAGATCAAACTATCATGGGCTCAATGAATGGTGTAGATCTCAGATCAAACTATCGTGGGCTCAATGAATGGTGTAGATCTCAGATCAAACTATCATGGGCTCAATGAATGGTGTAGATCTCAGATCAAACTATCGTGGGCTCAATGAATAGTGTAGATCTCAGATCAAACTATCGTGGGCTCAATGAATGGTGTAGATCTCAGATCAAACTATTGTGGGCTCAATGAATGGTGTAGATCAAACTATCAGATCAAACTATCAACTATCATGGGCTCAATGAATGGTGTAGATCTCAGATCAAACTATCATGGGCTCAATGAATGGTGTAGATGATCTCAGATCAAACTATCATGGGCTCAATGAATGTGTAGATCTCAGATCAAACTATCATCAATGAATGGTGTAGATCTCAGATCAAACTATCATGGGCTCAATGAATGGTGTAGATCTCAGATCAAACTATCATGGGCTCAATGAATGGTGTAGATCTCAGATCAAACTATCATGGGCTCAATGAATGGTGTAGATCTCAGATCAAACTATCATGGGCTCAATGAATGGTGTAGATCTCAGATCAAACTATCGTGGGCTCAATGAATGGTGTAGATCTCAGATCAAACTATCATGGGCTCAATGAATGGTGTAGATCTCAGATCAAACTATCATGGGCTCAATGAATGGTGTAGAGATCAAACTATCACGGGCTCAATGAATGGTGTAGATCATCACAGGCTCAATCCTGAGCTCAATGAAAAGTAGAGTGAAGAGTAGATCCTGGATCAAACTATCCTAAGCACCATGCAGGGTAGATCAAAGATCAAACTAATGGGCACTAATGTCATTGAAACATGTAACTCATTCAAGATTTTTCAAAGTGTGACATCACAGGTACTGACTGTATACCAGTCAAATGTGGCTTGTTGTATTAGCTGTTGTTCAATATGTATTTAGGACACATAGGAAAATATCCAGTCAACAAGTGGAAAGGCTTCATGTTGTAAAATCAGTTTTCAAAAGTCCATATTTCTTATAAGGTTCCAGAAACCACTAAATCTTTAAGTTACCATTTTGGTAATGGTTTGGTTTGGTTGTTGTCTAATGCTGCATTCAGCAGTATTCCAGCTATATGGCAGTGGTCTGTAAATAAACAATCCAGTGATTGTTCTACCCAATTGGGATACGATGAATTTGTCGACCAAGTCAGAGATGAAATGGTGCAATGCACTATATACCTTGTCACAAATTTGGAACAATATACATGATTTATTTACATTTTTGCCTCCATTCCGTACATTATTGTTTACTTGACACATATTTCTGCATAAGTCAAAAAAAAACTGCATGAGAAATGAGTTAGTGAGTGAGTACAGCTTTACGCCAATTTTAGCAAAAGTCCAGCAGTATCACGGCTGGGGACACCAGCAATGGGCTTAACACATTGTACCCATGTGGGGAATCGAACCCGGGTCTTCAGAGTGATGATCGGACGCTTTAGCCACTAGGCTACCCCACTGCCCCCATGGGTGATGAGTAATGATGATCACGTCAATTCAAGGTTGTGTTATTATTTCATCAATGTATGCAAATGGGATATGATGACATCTGTCAACCCAGTTAGCAAGTCTGACCACCCGATCCCGTGAGTCGCCTCTTCCGATAAGCATGGGTTGCTGAAGACCAATTCTAAAGGGTTCCATATGATAATGACAAAGACTCCTTGACTTTCACGCCTAATTTCCAAAAAATGTACAGGGTTTTCAGAAACAAT